AACTGCTGAATGAGGTTAATAAAGACCTGGGCACTGCACACCATAGTGTTAAGGTAGTTTCCTAATTACTTCTCGGTCACCGCTGTCTATCCAAGGTCTTTCCAGGTTCTATGAAGTTGAAGTACGGGTTTGACTACTACCCTTTCTCCCCTCTGTTCTATGCTAGTGTGTACAGTTACAATTTGATCATCACATGATTTACCTTTCTTGAGTGAGTGCAGAAGGATTTCAAACCGATTTCAGATAGATGAAGGTGTATCTTGCCTTTTGGATTCTGTTTCTGACGTTTTCATCTAGGCTGTCGCCTGTGGTTGAAACAATGCTTCCCAGATAATTGAGGAAAGTGACCTCTTTGAAAATGTCTCTTGTTGATATCGATTAGTTCTTGTTGCTGTCAGTTGGTTATCTTCGTCTCCCCCTCCCTTCATATTGTATTATTCTTTAGAACTGTAGCTCTGTGCCATCCTGTTATGTGCTTGTGTGCTAACTCAAGAATTTCGATTGCTGAAATCTGCTCTAAGCTATTGATCTCTCTGGCGTCAATCGTTCTACACTTAGCTACGTTATTATGTTCTGATTATCTGACTGCCGGCCTCAACCTGCTGGTGTGACCTATGCATTTGAACCCACAGTGAATGTAAGGCAGTTTATCGACTGAGTTATTTTATATACTGAGAGAGACTTTGGGTTTTGATTTCGTCCTAATACCTGATGTCCCTTCTTCATGTCAGTGAGTCTTTGTTCATTGAATATACACCCAGAAGCACATACAATACGAATAACAAAAACAATACTAGTGAATCTAAAGAATAAAAATAATGTAACTGTATGAACGGCATCTGAAAAGTGATTATGAGACAACCTTAATATGAGCATGAGTAACAAATTGAGTATTCCTGTGTGCTTTCATTAAATAAATTTATTCTATGGTGGAAATAGTCTGAATACTTACTGTCGTCTGCCTGTCATTGTAAGAAAAACAGCTCACGATCACTGTTTGATGTTAAACAAAAGAATTTGATCACAGGATTTCATCATGAGCTGACATTAGTTAGAGAATCATTGGAAAACCGGCCTGGGAGTACTGGACAGCTGTTTCATCCTAGTGCTTGAGGTTCTTCAGCAATACGTACCCGCCGGGATTCGAACTCAGGACCTTCTGGTTACAAGGTGAGCTCGTATACCATCAACCAACTGGGACCCGATCCAATGGCCAGTCAGACCATGAATTCTAACTTCTGTCCATTCATGACATAGCCTGACCTCAGTAAGGTGCAGCAGGTCGGATGTGAGGACAATACTCACCGAAGACATTGGCTAGGGGTCGCGCTATGTCGTGAATTGGCAGAAGTTAGAATTCATGGGCCATTCGATCGGGTCCCAGTGGCTTAATGATCTACGAGCTCGCCTTGTAACTGGAAGTTCCTGGGTTCGAACCCAGTGGGTGCGTACTGCTGAAGAGTCCCAAACTAGGAGGAAAAAGCTGTCCAGTACTCCCTGGTTGGTTTTCCAATGGTTCTATAACTAATGTCAGCTCATGATGAAATCCTGAAACCAATCAAATTCCTACAAACCAATACTTGAACAGAATATGAGTTGCATATTAATCGAAGTCGGATAAGTAGGCTCCTTAACACTCATGAATTTATTGTAGTTTATATGACTACAGTGAAGTGACCAGTATGTAAAGTGGCACATAGTTTTATACTACTTTTTGAGGCGGCTGTTTGACTCCGTAGCCTAGTGAACAAAACTTTAAGTGACCGGCTGAATGAATGAATGAGTCTCAACATAAGACTTTTCACATAAGTACAGGATTTCAAGTTGCCACCCTCCGAATGACCCACAGAATTGAAGAGAAGAGAAAGAAAAAGGGATTCATAAGAGCTACAATAGGCAGAACAGCACGACGGAAGGAATAAAAATGTGGGAAGACATTAGATTTGAATGTATGTATATAACAGTTCACAACGAGTGAATTCATTCACGCCATTGAAAACGATTTTGAGTCATATACTGTCAAGCCATCGGTCCCTAATATCTTGAGAACTCCAACTAGATAGTCTGCACCTCACTACATCACTCAAATCAACTGTCAAAGACTTCGTGGAATGAAACCAGGTTTTGGCGATAAAACTATAGCCTTTGAAATATTATTATTATTTCCTTTAATTCCTAGAGGAACACAGGGCTTCAGCCACGCGTCTCCATTGCGCTCAGTTCTCTGCCAACTTTCTCACCTGGCTCCAAAACTGCCCACATGCTTTCATCTCCTCTTCACCTGACCTCCTCCAAGTTACCCTTGCACTGACAACCAACTCGCCGCTTCCCATTCGGCCTGGTTACACTCGAGCGATGGTCTGTCATGTGATGTCACTTGATGGTTTGCTTTCTCAGAGTATGTCCGATTCACCTCCATTTCTTCCTGCACATTTGTTCAACAATTGGTTCCTGCTGAGTTGGTTCGCTCCCAGTGGTCCTTTTTCCTGATCTTTTATGGATGGCCATCTGATCTTGAGTAGTATTGAGGGAAGACAGCTGTTGATGAAGGTCTTTAATTTGTTCGAGGTGCCCTTCATTATGCGCCAAGTCTCTGATCCAAATATTATCACTGACTTCACAGTGGAGTCAAAAATCCTGATCTTATTTTTCATGCTGAGTGCTGTTGAGAGTAATGAAGGCTTGCGCTGCTTTACCGATCGCCGCCTTCATATCTTCATCACATTGATCCACCTGTAGTTGAAACGATGCTTCCCAGGTAGGTAAGTATGTGGGTAGGTTAATGGAGGTTGCTTCTCTCTGATTTCTACCATCTATGCTGATTCTTGTCAGTTTTTGTTGCTGTTGGCTTGGAATCTTCATAATCTCTCTCTTTTCTCTATGTTCACTTGAAATCCTGTCTTCTCTGGATGCTTCTTCTGTCGCCAACTTGTTGCTTTTCACTTGCATACCTTACAGTTTGTGGGAAATCAGACATATATCATATCATCGGCGAAGTCTAGATCCTCCACGTTTTTTTGTGTGGGTCCATTTTATGCCTTTTTCATCACACCCCGCTGTCTGTCGCATTATCCAATGTACTGCAATCAGGAAAATCATTGACAAAACTGGGCTGACATATCTTACTCCCGTCTTCACTTAGAGGGATTCGGTAAGTTTCCCGTTGTGGCCTTTGAAATAACGGGTCCCCAATTGGCGTCTCATTCAAAATACCATCACTTATCAGTTTAGATATAAAGGCCAGAATCGGATGAATTATTCACTGATGGATTCCACTGATGGTTAGCTGTTATCAAATAAGTTAGTATACGGCTACTGCTACAGATTTGCTAATTCTTTTAATAGATATAATAAGTATAACAAATGAATTTTAGACTGCCCTTTGACTGTGGACACTAGGTACTCACTAATGACATGCGCCCAGTCCTTGGTGTTGGTGCAGACTGAATTCTATCAGTCTACCATACTAGGTTACTCACCGTCACGATGCACTCTGAACTGTTGTTATTAGATGGTTGAAGGTAGCCGGTAGGAAGCTCTGGACTTCTATTTCCTGCCTCTTGGCATTCAATTTCAGAGCAAATCTGCAATCCTAAAGCAACTTATACCCCATCTGAGATTCAAATCCGAATCACCAAGTGGCACAGTCGAATACCTGACTATTGAATCTGAGAAAGGAAACAAGTTCGTTCCTTCGAGACTGAAAATAAGCCTTTTTGACGAGCTCCAACAAGCACAAAAACTGGCTCAAGGCTTCCTAACCAGTAATTCCAAACGCTCTTCCCTTGGCTAAATTCATACATTCTGACAATATGACGATCTCCGAGCTTCCAGTTTGACCCGTATAGTTGACCTCACACTCGTTGCAGGGTATTTTGTAAATTATATTATTTTGTTTAATTGGGTCCACGGGGTCTTTAAGCTTACAAAGCTTGTCCTGTCTGAGTTTCCAGGTTTGAATGCCACGCTAATTCTACGTAGGGAGTGTCTCAGATGTCCCCTCCTTATATGGTATAACTGTAGATGACTTATATTCTGTCTTATTTATGTTATTATTAATAGTTTCACAATTATATTTTATTTTTCGTTTGACTTTTACTGATCTTCCTAATGAATTTTAAAGGATAGTTAGTTATTTAATACCAAAGCCTCTTCTATCTGTTTCATTTCATCATTTAGGTCTTTTCTTGTGCTACTTAGTGCTATGGCTCGGTTTGTTAGACACTTAACTAAGCCTGCCTTAACCTGTAACGGATGAGATGAATTAAAGTCTAAATATCTAACTAAACTACACACTAGTGTGTAGTTTGCCTTCTTCTATTCGTTTTATTTTACAATCTAACATAGCTTATTATCCTTGTTCATTTTCCGAACCAAATGTGAATTTTATTCCCTCCACTAGTGAGTTTATGTGTGTCAAGAAGCCAGAGATATGTTCTGTTTTTAACACTGTGAAAGTGTTAGTCATCTACATATCTCCACCATATTTTTGGAGTAGGATTAAATGAACTAAGAGCTATCTTTTCCCAACTGTCCATAAATATATATCTGCTACGATATGGAGGATATTGGTGATCCATGCCATTGCTACACCTTCTGTTTGTCTATACATTTTGCCTTGTAATTTAAAGATAGTAGATGTGAGTAAGGCATAACTGAATTCCTAAAATAATTTCTTCAATGGGCAGCTTTGTCCTATGAGTGAGTTTAGGATCTGCAGTTAGTTCTATTTTTAACTGATTCTAATGCCATATTGATTGATACATTAGTATAAAGACTAGTTATCTATCAAAACTAACCATTGTTTCATCAATCTCTAGTTGAATGTCATTCAGTTTATTTTTCATCTCATATGAATTAGTCAGCTGGTCTAGAGTTTGAACGATTTCTAATGGGGCATAATGTTATACTTCCAAACATATTTACATTTAAATTGTATTAGTACATTTATTTCCAAACTAAAGTTTTCTTTGCTGTTCCCCACTCCCTTTACAATTTAGGTATTCATCATCTGCCTGAATTCATCACTGAGAAATTCTAACAGCCAGTGGCAGAGTACAATCCAGTTTATTATTGAAGCATTATTTGTCCTATTATCCGATTGTATAACTGAGCTCTTTGGAGCACTGTTTATTATACTATTAATGATTATCATTGGCAATGCATTTCTATGCTTTATTTCTGTATACAGTATATTACATATATTCGCAATGGGTAAGTTGTTTGTTTAAACTCTGTCAATTTTATTATCGTTGATCAACTTTTTTGTTACTGCATTATTTGTTTGTTTTAATCAGTCAGTGTTGGAAGTGGCAAAACAATGAATGTCTTAGTTAATAGCACCAAATAGTAGCGCGAATTTCTTAGGGAAAATCTTAAGTTGGTAGACTGCTATCGGATTCAGTGGTAAATTTGGACAGGTTAGTGATTCAATGATTTACTGTTAGAATACCCTTCAAACACGCATGTGGTGCGAATTTCAACACCAGGACAAGGCATCCCTAAACTTCCTTTACCCGATGTGTAAGACCGATAGAGGTGTGCGTTGGTGGCGTAGCCGTAGAATGCTTGCTAACCACGCACGTTGTTCGGGGTTCGATCCCTGGCCGACACACTTTTTTACCTCTCTCAGCCAGTAATAGTACCGGTGTGGTGAGAGCAGGCTGCTAGCCGATTGGTTGGCACTAATCTACGTTAAGGTCTAGGTCACTAATATGGGCCGTGAGAAAATATGAACAAGCCTGAGTCAACAACCAATCACAGCAAAGTTAACGTGGCAAAATATGATTCGCAGAGAGAACTCTATTTGTCAAGGAATCCCGAAACAACCAATCAGAAGCCTGCGTTTGTCTACCTAAACAACCAATCAGATGACTGCGCTTGTCTATAATAATGTAGTTGAAAGATGTATAAATACGTGTTGATTTTCATAATAAAACGATCTGTTGCTTCGCCCTTGTCTTCTGTTGTTACATTTGGTGTCGCTGCCTCCAGAAAATGAAGATCCCGTGGCCAGCTGCGTTTGAAGAAGGAGACATAAGGAGCTTCTTACGTGACTTCGAGGCTGTTGCTGAGCTGGTGGGTGTCAAGGAGCAGGCAGCGAAGGCAGTTGTCTTGGGGACGCTGTTGAGAGGCCGAGCGAAGGCTGCATATGACAGCGTAGACAGGTCAAATGGCACAGCGTCTTGGAAGAAATTGGTTGAACGACTAGTTTCCGAGTTTGACAGCGAAACAGACAGACAGCTAGCAATGCAGCAGTTCCGGTCAATGAAGCTTGGACCTGATGGAGACCCGCTAGTGTTGGCGGTGAAACTGACTAATCTACTTCGACGCGCGCTTCCCACTTTAGATGAAGAATCAGAAGCGCAGTTACTGTCTTCCCAATTCATCGAGAGTGTCCCAGACCACATTTCTCAGCGATTACAACTGGTTAACGCAACGCAGCCGATGGATATTAGCGAGCTGGCGAAGGTGACCAGACAGCTGCTGAGCACAACGGTAGCCGCTATAGACCAACCAAAACCAAACGAGTATGAGCAGAAAATTGAAGCATTGCAGCGGGAAGTGGCGGCGTTAAAGTTGGCTGATAGAAAAGACCGGTGTTTTGAATGCGGTAAGCCGGGACACTGGAGAAGATACTGCCCAGAAAGGCGAAAAGAAAAAATTTCAGACGGTATAATGCTTGTTCTTTCTTTCGTATGAACCTAGATTTAGTGGGGGCTATTGAGAAAGGCGCTCTGTATTCGAAGTTGCGAGTGAATGATCGAGAAGTAGTATGTTTGATAGATACAGGGGCGGCCGTGTCGTTAATAGATAAGAATTTATGTAAGAGTGTTAGCCCGTGTTCATTGACAGTACAAACAGTAGGCGGGTATGTGTTGCGTATCACGGGTAGATCGAACTGTACGGTCGTTGTTGGTGGCTGCGAGGTGACGTTTCCTTTCATTGTTGTACCCGAACTACAGCGAACGATATTAGGAGCGGATTTTCTGCGTGAGATTGGTGCCATAATCGACACGCAAGCGAACGTGGTGGTCACGAAATACGGGCATATCAACATGTATGAGACCAGCGAGATAGCAGCGATTAAGCTGCCGACGGTACACAATGTGACAGAGTTAATTAGTAAATACGATCATCTGTTCACTGGAGATGGCGACCCATACGGTTATTGCGATAAGGTGAATCATGAAATTCCGTTAAGTGATCCGAAAGTAAGGTCATTTACAACGCGAAGAGTTCCATGTCATCTGGAAGGCGAAGTGGAGCGACAAGTGCAAGAGATGTTAAAAGATGACATTATTGAGGAAGCTGATAGCCCGTACAACTCTCCAGTGCTGTTAGTAAAAAAAGCGAATGGGAAGTATAGATTCTGTGTTGATTTTCGACAGTTAAACAGTATGACAGAGTTAAGACCGTGTGCCATGCCAACAGTGGTAGAAACTTTAGATCGCCTACAAGGTGCGAATGTGTTTTCGGTTCTCGATCTTCGCTCAGGATACTGGCAGATACCGATAAAACAAGGTGATAGAGATAAGACGGCTTTCATCGTGGGTCAGACACAATATCGATTTAAACGCATGCCGTTTGGACTAGCAGGTGCACCGTTTACGTTCAGACGACTGATGAAGCTATTACTTAGGAACTTGAAAAACGTGGAGGTTTATGGTGATGATCTCGTCATATACAGTCAAAACGAAAACGATCACGTCAACCATGTAGAAGCCGTGCTGCGACGCATCGAAGAGTTTGGACTACGCGTCAACAAAACCAAGTCCCAGATAGCCAAAAAGAATGTTACTCTGTTGGGACATAAAGTGGGAAATGGTGAGATTAAACCACTGCCGGAGAAAATTTTGACGATTAAAACGATTCCAGCCCCGAATTCAAAGAGAAAACTGAGACAATTCTTGGGTAGAGCAGCGTTTTATAGCCGCTTCGTGAAGAACTTCAATGAGATAGCAGCCCCTCTATACAGGCTACTAGGTGAGCCAAAGTTTGTTTGGTCGGAAGAATCGCAGAGGACATTCGACAGAATTAAACAGCTGCTCGACCACCAACAAATGACGCTAAAACTACCTGTGCCAGGAAGACAGTTCACAGTGTGCACAGATGCCAGTGACTACGCTATAGGTGCGGTCCTAAGACAGGACGAGGGAATCGTTGAGTATGCCAGTAGGGTTTTGACACTCGCAGAGAGAAAGTATTCAACGATAGAAAAAGAATGTTTAGCAATGGTATGGGCAGTCGACAAATGGAGACCTTATTTACTCGGCCGGCGGTTCCACATCGAAACTGATCATAAGCCGCTACAATTTTTGAAGACAGCGAGAGACCCACGGGGGAAGTTGTCACGGTGGATGTTGCGTCTTCAGGAGTACGATTTTACGATCTCACACGTTCCTGGAAGTGAAAATGTCTTGGCAGATTTGTTATCGAGACCAGAAGATGAGTCTGAGTTGCCCGAGGTCGCTTACGGAGTGCATGCAGTAGAACAAGACCCACTAAGACTTGCACGTAGGCAGAGGTTGGACGATACGCTGAATACAGTAATACAGGTGATCACCAACGGAATAGAAGTGGATCAAACTACGGCGAGTAAGGAGCTAACCACACTACTCAGACAGAGGGATCGACTCAGAGTGAATGCCTACGGGACTCTGACCTGGCGAGAGAACGACGGAAGCTGGCTGGCTGTCATACCTCAATCGTCGCGCCACGACATGATAGAAGAATGTCACCAGCTAGCGCATACAGGCGTGGCCAGAACGACCGATCTCCTAAGACAAAGTATGTACTGGCCAGGTATGAGAGAAGACGTAGCAAGATACGTACTTGGATGTCCACGGTGCCAGCTGATGAAAGGTGACCGGTGTATACGACCACCACTTCAGTCGATTCCAGTTACCGCGATAGGTGACTTGTGGTCCGTAGATGTCATGGGTCCATTTCCTCAGACATCCAATGGTAATCAGTACCTCTTGGTGATGACGGAACACGCGACACGATGGGTAGACGCCGTAGCAATCCCAGACCAACGTGCAAGAACCGTGACAGATGCAGTAGTTAGACACATTGTTGCAGACCACGGCGTACCGAAGACAATACTGACAGACCAAGGTCCCTGTTTCGAGAGTGAAGAGTTTACTTCCCGTTTGCAACAGCTGGGCATCAAGAGGATCAGAACGACCCCATACCATCCACAAACGAATGGCCTAACGGAGAGAAACAACCGTACACTGAAGGAGTGGCTGGCCTCGAAGGGCGGGAACTGGGAAACGGAGCTTCCACTGATTTTACTAACACATCGCGCTACCACTCAGGAAACAACGAAGAAGTCACCCTTCCAACTGATGTATGGTAGAAAACCACGATTACCGGTACACAATGAGACCTGGCCCATGCACCAAAAGTGGAGTACGACGAAATTAAAAGCAGAGAGGAAAGAGGCAGTCAAGAATGTAATACGGAAGCAGCGCAGTGATGTCATGAAGTCTCAGATGAAAGAAAGGACGCAGTGCATTACCTTTGCAGTCGGGGACCAAGTGAAGTGTAGAGACAGGAGATATACAGTTGGAGGCGGGCTAGGTTCACGGAAACTCCTTCCAAAGTGGGAAGGACCATACACAATCACAAAAAGACGGGGTCAAGTATATACCATCCGAAGAGGTGATAAACAGAAACGAGTTAACGCCAGTCAGCTCCAAAGATGGGTACAGTGGGACAAGCCGGTCAGTAACAATCCTCAACTAGAGGATGTAGCACCCAGAAGGTCGGAACGTCTGCGCACGAAGCTATTTGACGGGGGGACGAGTGTGGTGAGAGCAGGCTGCTAGCCGATTGGTTGGCACTAATCTACGTTAAGGTCTAGGTCACTAATATGGGCCGTGAGAAAATATGAACAAGCCTGAGTCAACAACCAATCACAGCAAAGTTAACGTGGCAAAATATGATTCGCAGAGAGAACTCTATTTGTCAAGGAATCCCGAAACAACCAATCAGAAGCCTGCGTTTGTCTACCTAAACAACCAATCAGATGACTGCGCTTGTCTATAATAATGTAGTTGAAAGATGTATAAATACGTGTTGATTTTCATAATAAAACGATCTGTTGCTTCGCCCTTGTCTTCTGTTGTTACACCGGTAGAGAAGGAAGGTAGGATGTGATGAGTTTTGCAACTTCATTCTGTAAAAGTGAACACCACTACTACCAA